AAAAAATAAATAATCAAATACCAAAATAATTTTCAACTACAATTACAACACAACACAATTTAGTACAACCATAACCACAACCACAATCATAACACTTCATAATAATTTCAAACGCACCCTTGCTCTACTCGCCGTTGAGCAACGAACAACATGGCACCTATCGGGCTTTGTCATAAGACTTATTAAAAAATTTTATTTATAATAAACCAAAAGAAATTAAAAAATAAAATTTTTGGGTTTTTTTTTTCCCCTTTGTTTTGGTTCTTCGATGCATTCCCTAATAAAGGGTAGCTAGTGTGGTGCTAAAGAGACCCAAACATACCTACTTTTTTCTAAATTTGTAAGTGCCATGAATGTTAAAATTCGTCCATTTCATAATTTGCAATTAAAACATACCTTCCCTTATTAAATGGGTTCCTATTTTTTTTAAGATCCTTGATTAGGTTTACCGTGTTTAGCAAAAAAAAAAAGAAAAAAAAAGTTGACTGATTGTTGATTACTAGGCTAACTTTGTGATGCCAAAAATTAAGAAGTTGACTAGGAAATTAAAATATTGCCAACTTTTTTCCATATAATTGGCTTGGTTCTAAGAGAAAGAAAAATCATGTATGATCAAAACTAATTTAATTTTTTTCAATGCATTTGTTGTTAATTTAATTATTTGTTTTTAAATCTCTTTTTCATTTTTTTGGTTGAGATTGATAAGTTAATTTAATGAATAGTGACACATAGGACGTAAAAGGGACAAAAATTTCAATCTAACAACATAATATAAATTAATTTACAAAATGAGTTGATGATTATAATATTATAGACCTTAATAAAATAAAAAGAACTAATTATTAAATAACATAAGATTTAATTTTTAATATTTTAAATAACACAACTTATCTCAAGCTATTAATCTAAAATGTTAGTCCAATTTATAACTATTCTAATTTAATATGAATTTTTTGGGCAAATTTTGATATAGATAATCAATCAATATGAGAGTGGCACATTTTGTAAATTTAAAGTAATGTATAAGTTATTTAGAAAATAGAATCAATCTTTTACTTTTTCTTTTAGAAAATGAATCTACTCAATATTATGGGTCTAAATAAATAAAAATAGTAAATTATTTAAATGGCACATAAAAATTGTATAAAAAAATAAAATAAAAAGATTATTTTTAAATTATTTTCCTTTCTTTATTGTGAAATAGGTCCCACTTCCCTTATCACCCAACATCCCTTATCACCCAACAAAAAGGCCATGTTATGGCCAGCTCAGCCAAGTAACCCCACTCTGAAAAAGGCTCCGTTAGTTGTTGACGGTATAATAATGTCATCCATCAAAGAAAGGCTCATTTGCCACTATCAAAAGAGTTCAAGGGACCGCATACTACTAAAATTGGTTTAAGGGTTAATGTGCCACCAATCAACAAGTTAAAGAGTTGTTTTTGCATGATTTGTGTTTGTTTTTTGTTTAATAGAATTTATGTTATTGTTGTGATTTATTTAAAATAAATAGAATCTTATTGGGTTATATGATTATTTTTATTTATTACTTTATCCTTATTAGTGTCATATTGTTATAAAATATGATTTATTGAATTTATGGAAGAGAAAAAATCTCATTTAAGATGAGATTTATATGTACTTTAATAAGAATTTTAGACTTTCAAAAGTCCAAGTAAATTATATTTATATTAGTCTGGTGCTAACAAGGATAATATAATGAAGTAATGACGATGACATAGCTTACATGATAGGATTATGTTTAATTTAAGCTAATTACAATAATAATGTAAAATTTATGTGTTAAAATAAACAGACTATATATTGAGGTACTAATAATCTTAAATATAAAGAGTTAGAGGGCTTCTAGTGGTTATGTCGGGATATGGGTGAAGCTGCCACGTAGGATCGGTCGTTGTTATCGTGCGGTGGAAAATGGTATGAGGGCATAAAACGACGCCGGATGAACATGTGTGGTGTGGTTTTGGTGTGGCGGAACGGAAATTGACCATTTAGTTTGGACTGGTTGCGTTGTGGCTTTCGTTGGTCTGGTTGTTACTAGTAGTCTAATACAATAAAAAATGGATATGGATTTCCTTGTTAGGCGGAGAAAGTGTGGCTGAAACTTGAAAGGATGGAAAGATGTTCATATAAAACTAGTTCATCAATGGTACTTAAGTATAGTGAACTTCGTGCAGCACTTTTCTATTTTAAAAATGATTAAATCATAGTGTGTTTAATTGAATTCTATTATAAGCTTGATGAACTGGTCAAATTGTTTATTATTTGAACTGAAATGACGTGAGAATTCAAGTGCTTAAATGGCTTGGAGAAATTTTACCAATTATAGTTGATTTTAGTAGAAAAAAAAATTGATTTTCTTTAAATAAAATTTTTAATTTAAAATTTTGTAAATGAAAAGATAAGTATTGAAAGAGTTTCTTATTTATAGGGTTTAATCTAATTTAATTCCATATTAATTAAAATCTACTATAACTTTTGAATACCGTAAGATTTAATAAAAAAAATGTTTAGAAAAATTTTATGTACCTAAAATTATGCAAAAATGTTTTACTATTAACAAAATTGACTCAAAAATCAATGGATTGAACAAAATAATAAGCATACATCATAATTTTTTTGAACAATGATTCATGTACACATTGAACTAATACCTTCCTCGTCACACACATGGTTCAGAAGAAAAAAATAATGTTTTGTTTTGATAAGCGCTTATCCTTATCTTATTCCAAATAGTTTGAAGTTTAGATTTGTTTTCCCAAAAACACCTCAATGAAGCACAATCACCCATCTTCTTCATTTCTCCCCTGGCCTTCACTTACAGCACTGATGTCGACTCAACATTGATGACATGTGCCCTCTCCTCCCTTTCTTCTTCATCTGACTTTTCTTCTTTTTTATCATCACCTTCTCCATCTCTTCCCTTTTTGATTTTGTAATGCACCGATCTCATTTAATAGAGGAGGAATTTAGATCTAGGTTTCCACCCATCTACTTCTTCAGAAGTCCCTTCCTCTTCTTAGATCTGTCTCATCTTCTCTCCCTCTTTCTTTAGATCTAGGCTTTCTTGAATTTTGTTTATTTTTAGTATTTTTTTTCCCATCATTTGTTTTCAGTTTTGTTTGTTTTTAGTGGATTTTATTTGAGTAATAGGAAAAAAGAGAAAAAGTGTAGAGCAAATGGTGAAGCTGGGTCTACAAATTTGGTGGCAAAGAAAAGGTTTTGGGGTTGAAATTGATGGGATTTCTAGTTAAAAACCTTTTCTTTTTTTTTTTTTTCTACAAGTTTACACAACTAGCCTCATCCCCTACAACAACCCTTAAGACGGTTAGTTGAGAAATAAAAACAATGTTCTTGTTACCATATAATTGGTACCATGAATAGAGGATAACTAGGTGAATGGCTACAGAGTTAAGTTATTCATCTTATATTTCTAAATTGATTATAAATGTATTCTATAAAGAAAGTGACTCAATGGTGTTAAACCAATAAATAAATGGATTGTTGTCTTTTTTTCCAAAAGGTAGGAATTTCATTTGCTATAGAAGTACGTAATCATACCCCAAACAAGGATTGGTTAGGTTAGGTAATGATTAAGAATCGCGCGTGAAGTTTCTTCCAATATCATCAATGCTAAGTTCTATAAACTAATGTATTCCATGGTATTATTATATATAAAAAAAAAATACCAAACTCATGATTAAGATGAAAATTGAGCTTTACTTATTTATTAAGGATGTATTTTGTTTAGCATATAACCTACCATTATTAAGTTATTGTTTGCTTATATTGAATTTAAAATCGAGTTTGAGTTGAATTTGATTCTTACAATTTAATTTGCGTTTTGCGAGTTGTTTGTATCACACCGGCAAATGGCTCGCGAAATGAAGTGTGTAAACTGTAAAGGGTTGCCCCGGCCCTTCATAATTAAAGCAACATTCTATCCCTGCAAACAAATTGAAGGCGCACCAGATCCAAAGCGAACCACGGTTCTCCAACACTGCACGTGGAAGTATTCTTTTTCTAGTATTTCAAAAAACATTTTACTAGTCCACTCTTAAAGATCATTTTAAAAAAATATTAATCTTATATGTAAAAGTTATTCAAAAATACCCTAATTATAAATTAAAAAAAAAAAGAGGACATTTTACTAGCAGTACTAAATTGGATGCTTTAGAGCATGAATATAATAGTATTATCTTTCATTGTTTTTTTTTTTTTTTTTTTAAAAAAAAAATAGCATTTCCCAACTTACTTTGAGTTTTAAAAGAAGAAAAATAATAGTTAAAAATTTATTATTAAAAGTAAATAATATATAAAATATGAAAACTACATTTTACTCTTGATAAATTGTATTGAACAATGATAAAATCATCAAATAATTTATTAGTTATTTATTTAATTTCTAAATAAATTATCTACTTTTTTTTAATATTGTAACAAAATAAGAAACAAAAAGAGATAAAAAGAAATATGAAACCTTGCACACCATGAAGAGAAGGCCACATAAAATTTTAAATCCTATTGATAAAGCCATGTTTCCTAACAGCCAAGTGAAAATAAGTGGTATTTTGAGAATACTAAAACCAAGTATCTACACAAAACCCAACTTAAAAAAAAATGTATATGGCTATACCTAACTATAAGCAATCACCTCCTTAAATTTAAGGAAAAAAAAAAAAAACAAACCAAGAAAATAAAAAGAAAAGAAAGAAAAGCAAAAGAGATCATAGCTATGTAATGATTATAAGCGAACTGAAATCTTGCATGTGAAAAAAGAATATATTAAAAAATAGAATATATAGAGCACTCAATAAAATTATTAAGACGGAATCAACAAGTATTCCATTTACTTGTTTGTTCAATTTTGTTTTAATAGGGATTTCATTTTAATCAAAATGGAATTATGCTAAGTGAATCTTAAAAATACATTAATATTACAAAAATAATAGAAATATGACAAGAATAATTCTTTCCACAACTTCCTAAAATGGTGGCCCTTAAAACAAAAATAATAAATAATAAAATTTGCAAAATGCCCTTTAAACTTAAAAAAACTTCCTCTTCTCTCACGTGATATGCTATTTGTCACTTACAAAATTACCATCCAAAATAAAAAAATATTTCTTCTTCTCTCACAAAGGAATGCCATTTGTCACTTACAATAATACTCTCAAAGTCAAAAAAATTTCTTCACCTTTCACATAGACATGTCATTCCTCACTATTAGATAATGAGGTGAGAGAAAAGAAGAGAAAAGGAGTGATGAGGGAGATAATAAAGAGTTGGGCCTCAAAATCTTTATATTTAGATTTCATTTAATTTTTTTATTTGAATATATTAAATGTAAATTAAATAAAATATTATTTATGTAATTTTAGAAAAGCCCTACATGTTAAAGAAGATGTTTTATTAAAGCTTTTATTTTATAATTAAATACAT